TCTATTCTTGAAATGGATAGAACTATTCATGTTTGGGAAAAAATTTCCGGAAGTCGTCAAAATATTTTTTAATATGCCATTTTGAAGGCATGAATGTGTTCATTATTCCTACCAAGCCAAGTTTCAACTTGACACCCCAAATACTAAAGGATATACGTCCTTTTGAATGTCGAAAATATGCCGAAGAAAACTTTCGAAAATCTTTGATGCTAAAACTAATCGAGCGAACTTCCGAATTTCAAAAAACCGTCAGTCAGAGCCTGTATGGGATTCATACAAAGAATTCAAAAATGTAAATCCGACGAAGATCCGTTGATAAATAACCGAGATATGGGGAATCTGAGATTTTTTTTGTCCCATCCGTAAAACACTTCTTGTTTGTCATAAATGACTCAATTTATATTTAATAAATAGATCCACGGAGGTCAACCTCATTTACGTTGGCAGAACGTTTGCACCATGTACAGTTTTGCCTCCATAAACTGACTAAATCCCCCCACCCCAAGCCTCCAAAAAAATAATAAAAACACGTAATAAAAACACTTACAAAAACAGTACGTGTTTCGGCCGAAGATCCGAAATACGTAATAAAAACACTTACGCAATAAAAAGGTCCGATACACGTAATAATAAAAACACTCACGAAAACAATACGTGTTTCGGCCGTTTAATCAAATTATTCAATAATCGATAATGGATCAATAAATACGAATGATCATGATTTTGACCGATATTCCTCAGACCTTCTTCAGATAACGATCAGAAATCATTAAAACATTAAATAACACAGAATCGATTCATCTCGATGGATTGATTTGATACGTAGTCGTTTAATAAACCTGTTTGGTCCAGTTATACTTTATAACCTACATGCGACAAGTGACACGGTCCGTGTTTAAATTAGTTTAATGACATGTACACAATATTGACGATAGATTTTAAATGATTTCAAAAATTGATAATGTACAACTTCTCAATGAAAAGATTTCTGTAATTTTAATATGTTCTAGACGGTTCTTAAAGGGCGCATATCTCTATTTATTTGGGCCTTAAAATAGACGAAAAAGGGCCTAAAAGCACGTATTAATGTAATATGAATGTATCAAAATGATTTATGTTCAATTAAAAAAAGATATTGTAATTTCTAATGAATTATGTTCGGTGAAATATGTGAACAGTTCAAATTGAACGATAGTCGTTTAGGCCTCCTTAGTCAATTCTGCAATTTTATTATTATTATTTTTTGTCGTTTGTGACCCAGCCATTACTAAATACTTCTGCATCGTCTCGCGGGATATGTTTTTCTTCATTCATTACAATCGGCGCCTGAAATCATAGAATACACGACTCGTGTATTGATTGTGAAATGTTCACTGTGTCTTAAATATTGGATATTATGATCCCATATTTTCACGACAAGATAACAACATCGATATTAATTGAAATTGACCAATATTGAATTATAATTCTTGTTTTTAATTTCGAAGGTTTAGCTCCTTTAACATTTTGTATTTTTTTGGTTTTCACTTTTCGCCGATGCGGATTAACATTCCGTAAAAGAGTGTGGTTCTCAACCCCAAACGAGGGCATACTGAACATCTACCGTTTCCGATTATTGATCAAATTAATACATAAAAAATCTATATTCTTTGTCTTTGATTCAATTCGCAGGACCCGAAGTTGGTGGCCGGAAATTTATAAATGCGTAACGGAAGTTCAGGGGAAAATCCAGCCAGATATATTGTAACGAGTTTACTTGATTGATTCCGATATTCTAACAGTCATTATGATTTCGTATGTAGGCTTTATTAGTATTATGGGGACCACGTGGCTAAGTGGGTAAGAAACTGGCTCGCTAGTTTGGAGGTCGGGTGTTCGATCCCTGCATTGGCCGAGAAAGTTCATCCAGATTTTCCGGCGTGGTTTCCCCTTGTCAGTGATGCAGGACGGAGGGCCTGCCAAGGACAGCTGTCTAGTCGTTCGGATACGACGTAAACCCGAGGTCCCGTGTACACATTGGCGTGCACGTAAAAGATCCCTTGGCAGTTGGAATTCGATATAAGAATAGGCCGTAGATAGGCCGTAGCACACTGTATGGCGTATGCCGTCTTCATTAGCCCAGGTTAGAGGCAGAACGGTGGGACGTTAAACCCCATTTCATATCATTTCATTTCATTTATTAGTATTATGCTTATAGATTTTTCAGTAAACTTGAGTTGTTATTCTAGTAAGTAATCTAGGCCGTGTTTTATTCATTAAACCAGATAATACTTGGCATAACCCATGTGTGACGTTCGGAAGCCCATTAGGGTCAATCGATTTATCGAATAGCTACATATAGATCAACGCCGTACTTTATTTTATGTTACAGAATCGGCACATTCATGGCATGCTCCCATAAATAACATTCGTTATTTTCATGCCTCCATTAAAATCATAAAGATCATACTCTCATTAACTTCATACTCCCACCAATTTCATATTAATATCATGATTCATCAATTTTAATGCTCTCCTTAAAGCCACAGAACGCTATTTATATTTTTCGGAAAACTACTTTAAATTTGGATTTTGGGCTGTTTTTGTTTTTCCTTTGTTTTGACTTTACACAGTTTTTATTGTCTAATGAAACTACCGAGTTTAGCGATTTTTTCCATTTCAATAGAAAATTAAAAAGTTAAAACGAACGATTTTTTCCATTTCAATAGAAAATTAAAAAATCAAAACGAACGAAACAAAAACATTTTTACAGTGAATCATGAACGGCCGTTGAACAGCAAATATGATTTAAATCTGTTGAAAATCGGAGTTGATTATTGTCTTGCCATGTTAATAAATGTCTAATTAATGGTTTATTTATCATTTAAGGCCCAAAGAAAGACCTGCAATATGCAGATTTAGCTCTCGCATAATGTATTTTTAAAGGAGCTAAGTCTGTAACTCAATATTTTCCATAATATTTGAAATTAAAAACACAAATTAGAATTCAATATTGATCAATTTCAATCAATAGTGATGTTATCTTGTCGTTAAACTAGAGGATCGTAATATCTAATATTTAAGACACAATTAACATTTTATAGTCAGTGCGCGATTAGTGTACCCTATGTTTTCGGGTGCCATTTTGTAATGAACAAATAAAAACATATCCTACAACACAATGTGGAAGTAATTAGTAAAGGCTGATTCACAAACGACAAAATAATAATTTAAAAAACGTGTAGAATGCGCTAAGCATGCGTAAACGACAGCCGTTCAATTTGAACTGTTCGCGTAATTCACCGAACATAACTGATTAGAAATAACAATATATTTTTTTTTTTCAAAAATTTAATATAAATGACTTTACATATATCATATAACATTAATATGTGTTTTTAGAACCATTTTTGTAATTTTCAAGGTTCTAAAAAATAGTGCCACACGCCCTTTAATAAGAACAGACTAACGTATATTTAGGTAAATTTTTATCACACTTTTGGCCGTTTTGTTTTGGTTCGTTTTAACTTTACACAGTCATATAAGTTTTGGTCGTTTTGGATTAGCACCGTTTAGCCTATATTCCTTTTAAACAAGCCGTTGCCATCTTACGTTTCGCTGAACCTCTTTCGTTGCGATCTTGATTTTGATTTCTTTGATAATTAATTGGTGTACATTCAGGCATGGATTTTCAAAAAAAATTGAAAAATGTAAATGGCATTTCGTGGCTTTAAAGATAAATTGTACCGAAAGTATTTATCGGGTGGTTATTTCGAATAAAAGTATGGCAAATTTGGTATATATAGAAAGTGTAGGCACCCAATCTTACTAGAAAAAATACTGGATTACACGAAAAACACCAATGGGACAAACAATGGGCAATGTCAGGGTATCACTATCTTTCAACCCGACTGTTGTCTGCCATCTTATTGTGTGCTAGTCTGACTGGGGGAGAGGTTGTTTTTTCTTGATCAAATGGTTAGGCGGTTTTGGGAACATTGAGGGGTGTCAACAGAAAAAATTAAGAATTTACTTAGGTCTCAATATGTACAATAAATGGACAGTATGAGTAAGTAACCAAAAATACATTCTGAAAAATGGACTCTCCCTCAATGAAATGAGCTGACCTTCATGGCGTCTACTCTTATATCGAATTCCAACTGCCAAGGGATCTTTTACGTGCATTCCAATGTATACACGGGACCTCGGTTTTTCGTCTCATCCGAAGGACTAGACAGCTGTCCTTGTCAGACCCTCCGTCCTGCATCACTGACAAGGGGGAACCACGCCGGAAAATCTGGATGAACTTTTTCGGCCAATGCAGGGATCGAACACCCGACCTCCAGACTAGCGAGCCAGCGTCTTACCTACTTAGCCCCGTGATCCCCCTTTCAAAAGGAAGTAATGGAGGTCAAACATAGCCAATTAACCCGATGGTGCAGCACAGCACAAAGGAATTATTTTCACACAAAAAAAATTGAATGCGAATAATACTTTTTCGACATCGAAACCAAGAAATTGCCAGGTCTCTTAAACATTAAGCCAATTAATTCTCAGACTCCCTAATACGTCCAATAGCAGCAATGTACGAACAAACTGATCAATATAAATATTCATTGTTGAAACAACTTAGCTTTGAATGCTTCAGGATCATCTAAATCATCCATTTATAAAAGTGGTGCATTTTCATTGCGTCTCAGTATAATAATATAAAAGTTGTGAAATTTGTGAAAGTGATGCATTTTCATTGCGTCACAGAATATATTGGACATGAAAGAAATGTGATGTACAGGGCTTGGTATAAAGGCCTATTCTCTTCACAGGATTTATATTGTTCCACAGGGCTTGGTATAAAGGCCTATTCTCTTCACAGTATTTATATTGTTCCACTAGTCGACATTATTCGGTCAGTTGTCTTTTGTTCCATTTAATTTTTGAAACTATAAGGGAGAATTATTGGTATTGTACCAAGGGCAATTGGATTTAGATCCTAATTTTGTAGTAAAAGGTAAACAACTTACTTAGTCGTGGTTGATCATTTAGTCTCCCATAAACTTCAAATTCACAAAATCCCAAAATTTCTTCCGCAAATGAACGAATGTATACAAACCGACCAGAACATTTTATCTCGCAATTAATAATGGTACCCGTAGCCATTGTATTGATATTAATATTATTTTTACAAACACACGATGTCTCCCCAGTAAGATCTGGACTCAGATCCCTCAATACAACTTGAAATGATGTCAACGAATTAGCTGAAATAAAGCAGAAAACAAAAACCAATGAATCGATGTTTTATGACACATTTATTCTCAAACCCATTAATAAAATTATTATGGTATCTAAAGTATTCACTTATCACCTGTAGACCGGCACTCCAGAGCTTTTAAGGAGGTCTCTTTGTTAAGTTTTAGCGGACGCTTATCCACAGGACAATTTGGCTGGTATGTGTCAATGTGTACTTTGTTAGATGTACCAGTCAATTTAAAGTTATTTTTCCGTTGTCATTTAATACATGTTCTGGGCCAGTTCTAAATAAGTGTCCCCGGGCCCATGTGTTTGGGCTGCCTCGCGAGTCTTATGCACTAGATAATTATATCTGGCATTGGATCTTTTATACTCGTATAACGTTTTTCTTCGCCTTAGTTGCATAATGGTACCTTTTGCGCGGTTTTCTTTACTCTTATTTCAAAATACAATTGTAAAGGGTTCCTTTACCCTTTACATGCACGCCGATGCGCACAATAAGGGAGATGTGTGTGTGTGTGTGGGGGGGGGGGGGGGGGTCCACTCAACACAAACTGGGTCATTTCGGGGCTAACATAAGGTTCAATTTTTATTTCAAGCATTCGCTTGCGCGTAGGGGTCTTTAGCAGTGGGAGGAAGCCGGGGGACTCGGAGAAAACCCACGAGGTTGGACAGGTGACCTACTCCCTGTCACGTAGTGTTAGATATATCTGATAAATTCTATTTAAGAATTATGCTATTGACAGTTGTACGATTTTCTGTCAGCGACTGAAATTGTCTAGATTTGTAGAAAGTAGTAGGTTAAGACGTGAACCAGTGTGTTTGGCCAATGTCGACTTATTCCGATCTACATCCAGGAATGCACTTTGAATGAAAGGTCATTAGTTTCGAGTCGTCGAAACCCTTGACATCGTTCGGTCCTTAGTAAATTCGTAAGACGTTTAGAGGTGTTCCATTGTATTATATACGTACCACAACAAGATGAGTATGGCATCAAACTAAATGATTCAACTTCATATCTATTCTCCAGATCAACTAGAAACCATTGGAAGAAAATTTGTGCTCCAGCAGTTGATGACTGAATACAAGTAGATGGGTCACCATCCACGCCCAAACCCGGAGTAAATGGTGCATCGATGTCTTTTATACGAACCGTTTTGTTAAGGGCCAGATTTGAACCAGAAGCTGTAAAATCAAAATGCGTTCCGCCGATTATTATTGTATAACTTTTCTTGATCCCCCAAAATGATTAAAATACAGATCTATATTTCGTTTTGTTCTTTTATAGTTTCGATGATCTCCTCTACATTAAGCGAAGAATAAGTTTTGAGATATGAAAAACGAAACGAAATTGGACCTGCGTTTAAGTATTATTACACATTTCTATAGCACACAACTGCCACCCAATTGTTCTCATATGCGCTTTACGAAGACGTATAGAGCTAGACCATATTACATCTAATAGAACGAGATAACATACGAGAGCATACTTGATAAAACATTTCTTTGATAGGCATTTAGTAATTGAACATATGAACGCAAGGTACAATTTTATGGATACACAATTATTGAGTTTAATACTATAAGGGACGTTTCGACGAGGATATTCTCGTCTTTATCAAACAAATGATACAGACAAGAGTATCCTCGTCGAAACCTCGCTTAGCATTGTGGAGAATATCTACTTATATGTACCCCCTTATGGTACCTCTTTGACAGCTTATCCCTGTGGCACGATCACCTGATATATGTTTGGTCATGTGGCCTCTTACTATGTTAAAGCCGGATTCCAGCGCGCTCTTTTGGGGAGATTGTAGTCGGATTTTGGATGAAATAAAATGTCGTAATACTATGTCGGATTGCTGTTGCCTGCTTTATAAGATGAGATCCCAAACCCCCGGGCGTGTGCTTAGACAGCAACATACGCCACTATGGCGGTATATTAGATTAAAAATTCTAACATGCCATCGTCTTATTTCTAACTTCTATTCATGTAATTTTTAAGTTAAGACCATGTATTATCCAACTTCTTTATTTGTTCAGTGTAAATTTGGCGATTGAGCACCTGATCGGGACCATTATGTTGATACAAACGACTCGCTCTTTGATTCGTCAGGTTGAATGGTTTAGCGGAGTATTAAAATTGAAAACAACATCCAACGAGATATATGGTTTGCAAATACTATTTCAAATATAAGCTAAACAGTATTTGTTAATATTTTTTTTTAAGACAAGTTCAGGATTTGGAGAATTTTATTTGATTTTTTCTTTACTCAAGCCTTAATAGATAGTGGAGCAGATTTTTGTGCAATCAATGCCGTAACTGTATCATTGTTCGATGTTAACATTCGGCGGCTACAATATGACTTATATATCACTACAACCTGCAACGAAAGGGTTAAAGTTGAAGGATACATAGAACTTATGGTGGAAATTTGCAATCAGCGTATTCCAGTTAAATGTTATGTTGTGCCTAATTTAGGTTTAGATTTCTTAACTGCTAATAAGGTGACAGTTAAACATGCATTATGCAAGAGCTAAATCTGATTATTGCAAGTCTTAATTTAGGCTTCAGATGTTATAGAAATTATAAATTAGATCTTTATTTAAACAACAAGACCAAAATCAACTCTGTAGACCCACGGATGGCTCGGCTACAGCTCGGATTTAAATAGGATTTCACTAATTGATTAAATCAAATAAGGGGTAACCTGATGAAAATACGTCAGTTAGATCGAGGCTAAATGATAGAGTGTACTTAGCGAGGCCGCTGTAAAGCGTTTCGGTATGCCATTGAAAACTTTACTTGATAATCGAGATATGTAGGTGGAGTTAACGCCTGTCAATCAAACGATCAGCGAAGGTGAAGACACAATTCGCTACCATTTCTAGGCAAATATTACAACGATGATAACTATGTTCAGAATGAAGTAATTTGACTGAATTTTTCAATATATTCTTCTTTCATCATCTACTTTTGAACTGTTATAGCAAGAATGGCCAACTCTCTATAAAAATCTCCCATAATGTATCTTTAATTTTGGACAGAAATCGGTGTCTGTTAAAACGTCTCCTTTTGATTGTTGTTCTAGCTTTTATTTCGTCATAAAGTTACCCAACCTACAGAAACTGGATTCGTCTATTTAATTGTGAGTACACGTCAGCCATAACGTTCGTATGTAAGACATACTATAAATACTGTAGATGATCGGGACCCCTTCTTTTGCCCGTGGCAGTATACGTCCTGATCACCGGCTTTCCTGGCAACGGCGATGCCCGACGCCAAATGGAAAGACAATGGCATCACAGGAATACCGTTCGCCATATGTATGATATTGGCAGAACAGTATATTACAACATGCTCAGACAATATCATTATCTAATATGGCAGGACTTTTTATCGATTGCAATCGAACATTAACACATTTTGAATTCTTCTTTGTAAAGTGGTATGTGTTTGACATTATAAAATCATTAATGATTGTGAGAATAAAGTAATATTATCGTTTATAAGAATAACGTCATGCTTAGTTTGTGTGGAACCGAAAAGTCTTCAACGTTGCCGTTTTTGTCTTTTGAGGCATTGTATTAGCATATGGCATACTATTTTGGAAATTGCAGGAAAAAGGTAAAGTTACACCAAACGATGTCATTGAATATAACTATGACAACATTTTTGACTAGAACGCTGGCCTCACCAAGAACTAGTATATTGCCTATTGACAGTGCACAACATTTCTTTTTCTTGATCATCCACGGTCTAAGTGAGAGGGACACAATGTCGAGCTTTGTGTCATGGTTTTGAGTTTTTGCGCCCCCTCGCAAATGGCTAAAAAATCACGCGGTTTCAAATGCGGTTTTCAACATCATAATCATAATCACAATGCTCAATCGTTGTCAAATATATACCGTAGGACAGATATGCTAATCTACATATTAAAAGGATCACCGAGTATAAGTATTTTAATTGTCATATTAGTTAACCCAGATAAATACTTTTCGAGGTAAAAATATTGGTTTTTGCAAAGTCAATTGAAGATGTATTATGTAAGATTTAGTTAAAGAGCTGACAGTTCTCACTATAATAGTTACCAAATGAATAATAACAAGGGAATATGTTAATATTTTCAGTCAAATGTTTGGAGAATAGCGGAGTCTTGATTGACATTGCTACCGTTGTTGCGATTATAACCATAGTCTCGATTATCCATTGTATTTATTAAACCATTAACTGCCAATCGTGTTTAAATCCTTTAAAAATCAAAAGCATCTGGTGGTCTTGCCATGCTAAAAATCTATAGATAGGCCTGCAATAGGCAGATTTAGCTCTTGCATAATGCATCTTTAAGGATATAAATTGTCTGTTTACAAGGGACGGTTGAAGTATACATCACAAATTCTGCATTCTACAACACAACATACTAATCGCGCACGGTACAATGTACAGTATAATATACCGTGTTGTGTTTTGCATTGTACGGTTGGAAATGATATGAAATAAATATATTTTCTTATTAAAAGGTCTTTAAGAATGATTTATTTTTCACTTTTGAAAGAGCGTAGATCGAAATCACAACTGTTATGTTTGTATTACTCACGTAAAGATAAAACATATAACCGTGTGTTAGTCGCAAAGTAATCTAAAACATCATTCCATCATAATAGGCATATATGTTCATACTTTCCTACTCCGCTGTAAATATATCGGCATTTTGTATTCGAGACCAGTGTCGAATAATCATTCTTACTGATATAAGTAGGTCTGTTTGAAAATGACCTAGTTGAATATAATTTAGTTTTATATTACACTTACATATTTGTTTTAAATGCAGATTTATCACCAAAATCAGATTATAAAATATAAACGACCTCTTTAATAAGCTTTAAAGATTAAGTAGGTTTTATCTTATACTTTTTGTAAGTAAATTGAAACATCTTACCTGATTTAAGATACAATAAAAAGAGGGTAACAATTAACTCCATATTGAAAACCGGGCTTACTGACTGACACGACTATACTAATTGATCTAACCTCGCGCTGCTAATGACTAAAACTTATACCACTAGAATAAATCAATAACCTTTTTTCGCGCGATGTAGATATACATATACTTAAAGTAGCTTAGTATTTAACTCAATATCATCCAGTCTTCGACATTGAAAACACGAATTATTTGCCAATTTAAATCAACATTGATGTTGTGACCTTTCCGGGAAAGGATGGGCTTCTGATATCGAATATTTAAGACAAAATAAAACATTTTACCATTGTTACACGAATCGTGTACCATATCTGGAGAGCATGTGCAATAAATACTATCAGTGTAGAGTGGAATAACCAGACGCTAAAGGTTGCCATTCGATTGAGACTTCTGGCGTATTTCGCCGAGCATAACTGAGTAAATTTGAGTAAAAACGAAAACGATTGAATGTAAATCAGTTTATATTCACATTACATTATTATATCCATTTTTATCAATTTCTAGGTCCCAAATTTTAGCGATTTAGCTCCTTTAATATACACAATCTCGTCAAAAAATTAAACTAACTATCAAATAGTTTCTTGATATATGCATACAGGAATGTTGCTAGTTGTGAGTAACATTCAACTTTGGTCCCAGTCCCTGCAAAGAATGTGCCCGTACAAATGCGTCATTAGCAATAGAAACTTAAACACTCGGCGAGTGGGAGAATAAGGGATCCTACTACTGACCCAAATTTTGTCTATCCTAAGCAATTATTAACCATATAACAGATCATCCAAATCTGATGCCAAAATATATCATTTTGTATTTATTTTTCTATTAAAGAAATAATTTTTCTAATATCAACTAAACTAATCTAATATTTTGTGGGGATGTATCTGGGTACTAACCCATCTCACAGAAATTCGGTACAGATACCTAACCTTCTGTCTGAACCGTGGTAAATTTTAAACGAATTTCTTCGATTGTGAACAAACTACTGAATAATTGTTATTAAAAACTCGCCTATGTGTTTGAAATCACCCCCCGTTGAATAAAATCCATTGCACAATTAAATATACCAACGAAACAAAAAAGTTCTATCTTGAAAAGTCAATGTTTTTGCTTACATTTTCGACGGTGTCCATCACATTACAC